CAGAGTGAAAAACTCTGCCACTAAAATGGAGATCTCTTCAGTGAGTGTACGCTTCCCAATACCGTAACCCTGACTTTGATTATGTTCTCATGTTCATACACACCTTCAACTTACTCAGCATAATAGGGCCATGTTACTAGGAGAGAATCCCTGCCAGTTATATCAGCATCTAAGGGCCAAGGACCTATCAGTTGTGCACAATGAAACAACCATTCACCATTTTTTCAATGACTGTGATATGGTCAAATGGGATCTGGAAGATGAGAAAAGTAAAAAGGAAGAGGAAGAGAGTACATCAGAAAGAAGAAATTTTTTTTAACAGATAGCAAATAAAACAGAAAAAGATCAAACTTTGTTGATATTTTTAAAGCTGGAATGGAGGGCTGGTGTAAAGAAGTTTGAGAAAGTACTTGTGTGAGCAGGGGAAGGAACACAGAAACAAGGACGTATGACTGGAGGTCACAGGAAGCTTCTAGAAGGTTGGAACCCACTAATTTGCTGATCATAAGCTTTCATTTGAAACTTCTGTGCAAAATTTGGTGAAGTTAATCCTGATTTGCCTGTGATTCTTTAGATTAAAGCCCTGGTTAGTTCTTACTTTCCTTTTCACAGTACAATTACACACCTTAGATGATGTGTTCATTGGAATTATAGTGTAAGGGGAACTGTAGTCCAGATCCATCTCTGCTTCCCTTTCTAAACAGCATGATATTGGACCCTGTCTGGTGGATTTCTCTTTCAGGTTGATTCTTAATGTCTGGCTTTGTTTGCCTACTGTTTCTGAGTACCCATGCTTTGCAGCGGATCTTCTCCAGTCTTCTCTTACCTTCCTCTGTCAGGTTGGCCATGAAGTCATTTTTTTGTTTTTGTTTTTTGGGGGTGTTTGTTTTTTGAGATAGGATCTCACTATGTAGTTGAGACTGACCTGGAACTCACTCTGTAGCCCAGGCTGGTCTCGAACTCACAGCAATCCTCCTGACTCAGCCTCCCAAGTGCTGGGATTACAGGTGTGCGCCACCACACCTGGCTGATGTTGTTTTGATTATACTGAGAACACTGCATTTCTTCCGGTTTTCCACCAACAGTGTACAATCTGTTCCATACCAGTGTCTCAGTTTAGTTGCAAAGAAACCAAATGCAGAATGTCTTGTGTCAGATTTTTTGTTTTAAGGGGACTCAGTCCATGATCAGATGACTCCCAGGCAGAAACACCATGGTGGCAGTGCATGGCAGACCCAAACTGAGGCCTAAATGTGGAATATTTTTTGTTGGAATCTTCAGCACATTATACATATGGCTATGTCATCCACTAAACAAACAATTTAACTCTTCCTTTCTAACTCTGATACCTTCTTTTTTTAATTTCTGGCCCCATTGTTGTGGCTAGCACTTACAGAACTACACTGAATAGAAGTGGTGAGAGTAGGCATTTTTATAGGAAAAGCCTTGAGATTTTCCCCACTGAATATACTCTCAACTACAAGCATGGTGTGTGCCATCTATATTTTACCAAGGTACCATTATTGAAATTATTATAAAGATGTTGAATTTTGTCAAATACTTTTTCTGCATCTACTAAGAGTGTCAGGTTTTTTCTCCTTCCTTCTGTTAAGGTGATACATCATATCTATTGATTTACATTCATTGAATCTTCCTTTCATCTTAGTGATAAATTTCATTTGATCACAGGAAAGGACCCTGGGAATACAGCATGGATTTCAGCTTGCTGATGTATTGTTGAGAATTTCCTCTGATTAAAGATTTTGGCTATTTATTTATTTGCTTGAGATGTTTTACCTCGCTTGCTGACAGAGCAATACTGGCTTCAAAAAAATGAGTGTGGAAGTATTTTTCAATTCTACAGAAAAGCTTGAAGAAATTAATATTGGTTTTTGTTTAAGTGTTTTGTAGAATTCAGCTATGAATCCATCCTTTCTTGTGCTTTCTTTCGATGAACATATTACTAATTGGATTTCCATATTTATTATGATGTTCATGTTATTTCTTCATGAATTAGTTTTATTATGTTGTGAGTATCTAAGAATGTATCCATTTGTACCAGTTATCTAGTATTTTGATATAGAATGCTATCTAGTTGCACTGTTAAATTTTTGTACTTCTATACTAACACCTATGATATATGTTCTATCACACCTGATTTTATTTTTGAGTCTTATTTTTAGAGAAACTAACGATAGTTGAATTTTGTTAATCCTTTCCCCCGCAAAAGCAAAACTTGTTCTCAACGATTTTTTTCTATTACTTTTTTTTTTCCCTCTTCTTCATTCATCCCTACTTGATGTCTACTATTTTCTTGCCTCTATATTCTTTGGGTTTAAACTTCCAAGTTTGTATAGGTCTATGTGGTATACATTTGTTTATATAAAATCTATCTTCTTTTTCAAAGCAGTCAATTATTTTGGGAGAATTCTTTCTTCAAACTGCTTTGCCTTTTGGCCATAATTCTTGGTAAATAATGTTTCCATTTAATTCATTCAGTATATCTTTAACTTTTGTCAGTGATTTAGTTTGTTTAGGATCATGTTGTTTGCTTGGGAAATATTTATGAAATCCCCTCTATTTTTTCCTACTTCCATATCACTATGATCAAAAAGATATTTGATATTTTCATAATGATCTTAAATATGTTCCAACATATTGTGATATCTAATGCATTCTGTATTCTGGATAATGTTCTGGATTCTCTAATGAAGAAAGTGTATTGTGCTGCTATTGTTACAATGTTCTGTTTATAATGTAAGTTTCCTTTTCTCTACTATACTTTTCATTTCCAATGATTATTCCTTTGTTTTCTGCTCAGTTATATTTCTGTTCTTGACAGTGATGTATGGACATCCTCTACAACTGTATTACAAATATCTGACTCTTTCTGATTGTTCATATTGCCTCCAAATGTATTAGGTATTATGATTTGCAGTTTTGTACTATAAATACTATAATTCCTTGATGAAATTATCCCTGTATTATAATACAATTACACTCATGTGTTTTGAACTGTAATAATATTTTATGGACTTTAAATATATAATAAAATTGACCATCGTTATCCTAAAGCTTAGGACCAAAATGTCATGGTCATTTTTTGTATTTTTAATATATGCATTCATATATAATTATTTTCTTGAAGATGAGATATTTCCCTAAACATGAAATTCATATATGTCACAATCACACCTAATAAACATAACAAAAGGTGATTTCACACATTATTTTTAATGCTTTTTACATGAAATAAATAGGTTAGTTTTATATTTAAAAGTAATATCACAATTAACAAAATCAAATCTTTTAAAGTTGGAGGATTCCGAATTTCAAATTTTCTGATTAGAAGCTCATAAACTGCAAAATGGCTACCCCTCTTGGGACTTTAGTAGTATGAAATAATATGTATAAAATATAAAATAAATTATATGGTGTCCATAAGTGACAGGAGGGAACAATATGAGCATAAAACAGAAATATGAGATATTTAATCAATAAACATGTTGAAAAGTAAAAATAGAAAAGGTCACTTTGTGAACAAAAGATAATATAGTGGCAATAAGTGAGAATATTGTGCTCAATACTTTACTCAAGGCAAAATTTAAGTAAAGATATTAATTGTACATTTACACTAGTAATAATTTATTTCTGTTTTGTTTTGTTTTGGTACTGGGATCAATCAATCAATATGGAGATACCTCAAAGATCGGGGACTAGAGGTTCCATTTAACCCAGCCATCCCTCTGCTGGGTATCTTTCCAAAAGAACTAAAAGAAATCATATCACAGTGATGTATGCACACCTATGTTTACAGAGGCACAGTTTGTAATAGCTAAAACTTGGCAACAGCCCATTTGTCCATCAGTTAAGTTGGATAAAGAAGATGTGGTTTGTCTATAAAATGGAATACTACTCAGCCATAAAGGATGAGAAATTAGCTTCATTCATAGGAAAATGGATACATAATGAGGATATACTCCTAAGTCAAATAAATAAGTCACACATGTGTAAATACTGAATAGTTTCTCTGGTGTAAAAAACTATAATAGTACATAAGATCCTAATGAGATAATTGACCATGTGAAATAGAAAGAAAAGGGCTAAAGGTGTAGGGAAAGTGAGAAGGGTAGGGGAAAGGGAATAAGGGAAAAGAAAAAAGATGAGAAAATGAAAAAATAGAAATAAAGTGTTTGTAAATGGGGAGAGGAGGAGGGGGTGAAGGGAGGGCAGGGACAAGGGGAGAAAATGAGAACCAAGACCTGTCATGTAAAGGTACAAGATCGCAATAATGAATGTAACTGTACTGTATCCCTAAAGTGTACCAATAAACTCAATGAGAAAAAAATAAAATAAAATAAATTAATACTTTTCCTTCTGGGGACCAAGATTTCAAACCAGGATCAAGCCATGCACTAGTTTTATAACTAAAGTACCAATCCATTTATTGTCCTTATTTTTATCCTTTATTTGTACAGATACTTGTTATTTTATTGAATATAAGAGTAAGAAATTAACACAAGGGAAATGAGGAAGTATTTTAAAGGGATAATATTTACATCCCATTTGAAGGAAAGTACTTATCCTGAGTTATAGTGAACAAACTTTCCCATAGACTAAAAATCCAAAACTCAGCGGTGACATTGATAGAAAGAAGACCAGATTTCCAAGTAAATACGTTCTTTTATATAAAAACACTATTTTTGTTTCATTTCAATATATAATAATTGGTATCTTTGTGTGCTGCTGAAAATAACTATAGCACAAAGAAATGGTTACAAGTATTTATTTTTGAATATTCAACAAATAACATCTGTCTTCAGTGAAGTGATGAATCTTCTCAGTCTAAATCTATTTCAAAATGAAGTTTTTCTTGTTAATTCAGCTGCACACGAGATAATCACAAAGTTTCCTTGGATCTGAAGTTGATATATGTGAGATTTCAATTGAATTTGCACTTGAGGTAGTAATTTAAAGGGAAAGCATGAAATATTGTGGTGACTAACAGCAAGAATAAAAGCATATTCTATACCAAAAGACTCAATAGCAACAACATCGATAGGAGTATCCACAGCTATAGCAGGATAACATTCACAGCCAGAGCCACATTCAACAGTAACATCTGTCCTCAGTGATGTAATAGGTCTAATCAGGCTACCTCAATGGAGTCAGACGCTTTGTGGTTATTCCAGGTGTCCAGCAGTCAGTAATCAATACTTGCTTTGGTTTAAATGAAGGGGTGTTCTACTCAGCTTGATCTTGAGGGCTTCCGAGGAAAATTTTCATCTCGTGGTCATTAACAGCGAGAGGCGTAGCAAATTCTGTAGCAAACCGGTCGGTAGCTACAGCAGCCAGACTTCCATCCACAGCCAGAGCCAGAGCCACAGCCATAGCCACAGCCAGAACCATAGCCCCAGCCATAGGCAGAGCCACAGCCAGAGCTGCCACGGCAGGTCTCACAGGAGTTTCTGTAGTAGCTGCAACACATGGTGGCAGGAGATAAGTTTCAGTTCAGGGTAGGGGAGTATTTCTCAAGTGTGAATGTCATCTCATCCTCCAAGCCCTTTATGTACTTTCAGGGATGGATGGGTTGCAGCTCACATGGGCTCTCTTCTCTCATTTTACCACCTTGTGCATAAATGAAGTCATTCTGCACACAGTCATTACACTAGGAAGTCGTGATTTACTTACTACTGCCTGCCCATTTTCAGAAGCCTTCAAGGAAATAATGGTGCATTTTCTAAACGCCTAGGCTTGTGCTTCCATAGTTTTATCTTGCATAGTTTTCTTTCATGATCATGAGTTACACAACACACCATCAAAATATTTGTGACCTATTAAATATGTTTCCTTGTCATTTGTTGTTGTTTCTTGGCAATCATCTGTTAAATAATGCTATCAATTGGAATTTATAAATACCAGCAACACCAGGAATGTCTTAGTTTCTTTCTTTTCTTTCCTCATATTTTTATTTTATCATCAAAATTACTTGAAATTCTTTTTCCTGGAATTTGGACAAAGAATTAAATATTTCAACCTGCTATATCTTCCTCTAAAAGTTTCTTCTCTTTATAAATTAAAAGCATCTGCAACCCATCCTTTTTTGCAAGAAATTTGTGGACTCTTCATTCTTTGGCTCAAAAATTTATGTTAAACTCTTGACTGATCATTTATGTAGGGAGACATCGTTGATAGCTTAAGGGACAAAATTTTAGAAGTGGTTCCTTTGGGAGAGGTGAAAACTTGGTTGAATCAGCTCTTCTTGTGGAAGTCCCGTGAAGGCCAATCTTTAAAAATGAGCTGGGCTTGAGAGATTACTCAGAATTCTCTCAAATTTGTGGGTTATATCATCACTCCTCAACAAAGTTTAATTAATCAATGGTTAATACTTCAAGATTAGCACAGTTGATGGAAGAAGGAGAGAATTAGTTTTCAGGGTCAATACATCAGTTAGAAGAAAAAAATTAGCACAGGATGATAATAATAAGTAATGTGTAATACATTTCAACTTTACAAAATGAGTGATTTTAAATATTTTCAGCACAAAAATGATGTCTGAGGTGATGTACATGCCAATTATTTAGTATTCAGCATTATTTTATTGACTATTTTATCACTTGTTTTCTTCAGAACAATATATCAATAAATATATTTACTCACACTACATTCAGTGAATCCTAATAATTTAATTTTGATAATTTCCTAATAATTTTGAATCTACCAGTAGTTGCACACTCATTAGGAGTTTTCATTGTCTTTTACTTTTTTATCATTCTTTCCCATTGTTTTTATGATAAATGGTTTGCTATTCAAGATCTCATTTTCATTCACAACTCTGTCTTGAATTTCCCTAACTCTTGGGTTTCATTTAGATTTTCGTTACTATATATATTTTACATCTCACCTGACACACTAGTAAATCCAAGATGCTACCTTTTATTTAACTATCACATATACACAGGAGATTCATAAATGTCAAGTTTTTTGAACCTGTTTGGAATCAACCGCACAGTGGGACAATCAGTAAAAGATCAAAATGACAGCACTGTTAAACAATGAAAAAGAAAAATGGGAATAGATGAAAGAAGTTAGTATGGTACTGCTGGGCTGTGACAATGCTCAGGAAAGCAAGATCCTAGAAGAAATACTGTATATGTTGTATGGCTAGATTGGGAAATTATTGTACTATAGTTAAAAACACTACACTCTGTGCTTAATAATTGCAGAAGTGTCTAGCTATCACTTCAAGTTTCTTATTGAAGGAAAAATCTTAGAATTTGAGGAAATATTTGGAAGTGATAAATATGCTGATATGATTATAGTGATGAACTCATGAGTATATGCAGTTATTTTTAGTAATTCTTAATGCCAATATCTCAATCAAGCTCATAAAGAAAATTCGTACACTCATGACACAATGAAGATCACTTCTGTACAGCGCAGGCAGTGATTAAGTGATCACCAGGTGGTGGTGTGAACATGTATAGTTCCTAGCTGCTGGTCACAGTCAGATTTAAGGGAGAGTGGGTACGACAAACTGCAGAGGGCTTCCGAGTGTCTGTGTAGATAGGACTCTAACTAGATAGTCTCACAGAGGACAATATTTCAAGTGGTAGTTTCTGTGTGGAGAGGACCAATAATAGCATCACACCCAGTTCCCAATATCTCTGCACTTTTAGCAATAGGATGGCCAGATAATGATATAGATGTCACCATACCCCTTGCAGCTACTCTGGGATATCCTGTCCTTCCTTCTGCTGCCTCAGCCTAAAAACAGGTCTTTCTGCAACTTCCACGTAGATCCTTTACCTGGGAAGCTTAACTTTACCTGCACTTTTAAGGAGAGATGTACAAAGGTGTCTCATTTTTTTTTCTCATTGTGTTTATTGGTACCTTTCAGGTATACAGCACAGTTACATTCATCGTTGGGATCTTGTCCCTTTACTTGACAGATCTTGTGTCTCATTTTTCTTCAGAAGGCAGACATAGAAGGCTGAGTTTGAAGCTGAGAGACAGGAATCTGATGTAGCTGGTGAACTCTCCTACAAATTCCAAAAGCTCTGCGGTAGAAACTGGTTTCCACAGAAGACAGTGACTGATCTCCTGGCCAAGATGTTTACAGATTATATAACCATGGAAAAAGTTCCCAATCTGTGTGTCCCTCATTTTCCACAACTTCCCAGTGAGAAAAAAAGAACAACATGCAATTAAACTTTGTCAATAAGTCTATGGAGGGAAAGGAGGAACGGTAAAAGAAAAAATATGAGAAAAGGAAAAATGGAAATAAAATCTTTGTAAATAGGGGAGGGGGAAGTGGGTGAAGGGAGGGCAGGGATAAGGGGAAAAAATGAGAACCAAGACCTGTCATGTAAAGGTACAAGGTCCCAATGATGAATGTAGCTGTACTGTATACCTAAAATGTACCAATAAACTCAATGAGAAAAAAATGTCTATGGAATTTGTATAGAAAAAATAAGGAAAGAGTACAGATCTTTATGTATAGTGGAGATAATGTTGCCTATAAACTTCCCAGTTAATTTATTCATACATAAGCATCCTAAAAATAACAAAGTTTCTAATTTCTACATGTACTTACACTGATTTATTAGTTTTAAGATCTACTTTAATGCTGCTATGGTTTAATATATGACTATATAAATATTACTATATATGTATATCTTATATATGTTGTCTCATGTATAAATATATGTGTATATATATATATATATATATATTATCCTTAATATACTTTTAGAAATGATTAGAGTACCTCAAAAAATGAACTACAAAGTGACAATCTTACTGAAATTTTCTGAAGAGCTTTTAAAATGATGTTTTTATGAAAATGTGTGATCAATTATATCATAAAGCTAGCCCTCATAACCTATTTTGAAGCTTAGTGACCATGAAAATCATAGAAATTTTACCAATACCTACCTTGAGAACATACCTGCATATTAAAGTTTTTATTTTTTTTCCTTGTGCTTTTAGGGACATAGCCTCAAAATCATTGCTAGGAACAATGTCATGAACTGTTAATCCTGTGTTTTCTATTAGCAATTTTATAGTTTCATGTTTTACATTCATGAATAAATCATTTTGAGATGATTTCTGCATGTAGTGTGAGCTGAGGGACTAACTGAAGTTTTCTGCATATGAATATGTATTTTCCCCAGAACTCTTTACTGTAGAGACCACTTTTTGTCATTGTGCTTTTCTGCTATCTTCATCAAACCCTTTAAGTTTAAAGGCTGAGATTCATTTCTGGACCTTCTCTTAAATTGGTCTTTTATGCCAATACAGTGCTGTTTTGATTAAGATAGCCATGTGATACATTTTGAAAACAGATAGTGTAACCCTCTGGAATTGTTCTTTTTCAGAATATTTCTTTGACTATTCAGGCTCTTATGAATTTGGGCATGTTTTTCCTATTCTTTGAGGACTGATGTTAGAATTTCCATAAGAATTAATTCCATAAATCACCTCAGGCACTCCAAATCATTTAACTATATTCATTCTTCCAAACTACAAACGCAGTATATCTTTCTTTTTATTTGTGCCTTCTTCACTTTCATTCACCAGTGTTTTACAGTTTTCATTGTACCGATCTTCATGTGCATGATTTAATTTTTCCTAAATATCTTTTGTAGATTTTGATGCCCTTTAGGAATGAGATTATTTTCTTTGCTTCTTTTTTTTTTAAAGCTCCATATTGAAGTATAAAATGCAAATGCAATACAAATGCAAACAGTTTTATGCCCATAGCTCTTATTCTGCAATTCTTTGTATTCCTCTGTTATTTCTAAGATATCTCTTCTTAGTGAATTGCCTAAAGTTTTCCACACATAAGATCATGTCACCTGAAAACAGAAATAAATTTTCTCCTTTTCTTACTTGGATGACTTGTACATCCTTTTAATGTATAATTGCACTAGCTAGAGTTTAGATTATAATGTGAAATAGAAATGGCAGGAATGATTATCCTTACTTTCCTATCTTAAGGGAGAAGTTTTCAGTTTTTCAGCACTTGGTTATGTATCATCTTTACTGTGTTGAGGGATGCTCCTCAATATCGTGTGAGAGCTTTTAAATTATAAAGAACACTGGATTTTAACTTACTTTTTTGCCCCTATTGAGGTAATCATTGCTTTTATCTGTTAATCTGTTAATATGGTATACCATCCTTACTGTTCTGAGTGTAGTGAACCATCCTTGCGCCCCAGGGATGAATCCCACTTGGTCATGGTAAGTATATCTTTCAAAAAGCTGTGGATTTCCTTGCTAGTATGTTGTTGTGGAGTTTTGGTTTTTGTTAGTATTGCTGTTGTTGTTGTTTTTGTGGGCTTTTTTTGTTTTGCTTTGGGGGTTTTCAGGGGTTTTGTTTTTGTTTTTGTTTTTTTTGGTACTGGGGATCAAACTCAGGACTTTGCACTTGCAAGGCAGGCAGCAGAACCACTGAGCCAAATCCCTGGCCCTATAGTGGGGTTTTGTATATATGTTCACCAGAGATGTTGGTCATTATTTTCTTTTCTTGTACTGTTCAGCCTTGCTTTGATAGGAGATTAATACTTCATAAAACGAATGTGGAAATGTTCTTTTTCTAATTTTCTGGAGGAATTTGAGGAGAATTTGTGTTGATTCTTCTTTTAATATTTTGTAGAATTTAACCATGAATATGTCGGTTTGTGTTCTTTTCTTGATGAAAGATTTTTTACTATTAGTCATCTCAATTGTTATTGTTCTATAATATTTATATTAGCTACAATTTAGTCTTAGTAAAGTGTATATATCTAAAACATTACCCATTTCTTCTAAGGTTAACTGATTTGTTGCTATGTAATTATGGGTGGTTGCATTTCCTGACTCTCTGTATTTCTGTGGTATCACTTCCTTCTAGTCTAATATTGTCAGAGTTCACTCTAACTTAACTTCAATACAAGTTTGTCAATTTTGTTAATCTTTACCCAAAAAAACAAATTATTTTCATTGATTTCTTTTATTTTCTAGTCTTTATTTCACTTATGTACTCTGATCTTTACTATTGTCTTTCTTTTGCAAAGTTTGCTTTTACATTTTCTGGTTATCTATAGCCATAACTAGGAGATATCTTTTATTAAATTGGGGCTATATCTTCCAAATTGTTTAATTTTAGCATATTTTTAAATACTCTGAAAATCATCCCATTATTTATTTCTAGAATTGCATGCTGTGATGGTAAAGATATTTGATATTACTAAAGTATTTGTAAATACATGAATATATGTTTGAAAGTTAAATGTATTATATATCCTAGCAAACAGACTGCATTCTTGAGAAGTTGTGTATCCAGTGAAGATACTTGAAATGTTCTTGTTATATCTATTGGGTATTTACATACACCAAAATTCATTATGTGTATATGTGTGTATGTGTGTGTGTGTGTGTGTGTGTGTGTGTGTGTGTGATATAAAATAACATTGAAGAACCATATAAAAAAAGAAACAACAAGCACTTATAATGGATCGGCTGCCTGGTAGCTGGTGCTAGGGAATTTAGCTTACTACAGTGGAAAATGAAAAAGGAACACCAAAATATGAAAGACCAAGAAGAATTAACCATCCAAATCTGTAATCCCAGCACTTGGGAGGCTAATGCAGGAATATCATCTCAAGGTTGAGCCTGGCCTGGGCTACATAGTGAGTTCAAGGCCATCCTGAACTACATAGCAAGACTCTGTTTCCAAAAGAAGCCCCGCAGTATTAGCATTAGAAATGACAGAGTAGTAAGACCTGACTGTCTTAAAGGTTGGATCTTCCTGCTCATTCCTACCTATACCATGATCATTAAAAGTAATAATCTACAGGGATAAGAGGGAAAAATGAGAACCAAGACCTGTCATGTAAAGGTACAACATGCCAGTGATGAACAGAACTGTACTGTATACCTAAAATGTACCAATAAACTCAACGAGAAAAGAAAAGTAATGATCTAAATGTATGCACAATAGTACTAATGGATCATTTAATACAAATCATGTTGACGGAAAAAAATTTGAAATATAATTATTATTGAAATAATCTCAAATATACTAAAAAGTTCGAATACCTCCGGTATTCTGAGACCAGAATTACAAATTGCTTATTGTGTTAATATGATAATATCTGAACAGCATTAGTGAGATATCACAGAGATGGGATGATGTCTAAACATGGAATCATCCATGAGCCATACACATGTATTACATATAAAATGGAAGGAATTTTAAGGATTTTTTTCATAAAAATACATTTTTGCAAAGTTTGAAGTACATTTTTGTAATTTACGCTTTGTAAGCAATCAAAACAATTTCAGATGGAGAATTCCAGATTGCAGATTTTTCTAATAGAAGTACTGAACCTATAAAAGAATCGTCATTCTGAGACACTACTTGAAAGAAGTGGGATGGTAAAATACAAAATAGCATGAATTATAAAATGGTTGCGACTTATAAATGAAATCAAAAATAAAAATAAACATATTTTTAAAATTTTAAAGCGCTGTACGAACAAATAGAAATTTTGTAAAATATGAAGGATGATCAAAGATATGTTGAATGATTAAAATTATAAAAGTGTATAGAGTAAAAGACACATTCGTGATAATTGTGTAAAAGGCAAAAGGAAGTGCTGTAGGGGGATTAATGGCAGTGTCTTTTACTGTAACAAATTTTTAATTTAAACTTTCATCGTATTTATCGAACATCCCCCTTGATCGAGTATTTACAGCACTTCCTGTCTAATGAAAACATTGACATTTATCTTCATCCATCTTAATCGCTACATTTGAAGTGTTGTGATTTCTGGCTCCTCTAAAGCCAGAAAGGACCCCAAAAGGTGAACATTTTAAATGAGTTCCCAGCCTTCAGGGAGACAGGACAAGCCAACTGAAGACACTCGGGTAGGGAGGCTTCCGGAACACTTCAGAAAGTGGCAAGAGTGAAGGGAGTTGTTCAAACCACAAAGCGTACCTTGATAGGATTCAATGACACATGTTGTTCACTGTAATAAGTTGTTTCTCTTCACAGTGTTTTTCACTCACACTTCATATTAAGCAGAACTTCATATACTTGAGGAAAAATGTAAGTTGAAAACATCAACGGTACACCTGATCAAATTAGATTTACTGCAAATTATTTGTCAACATTCTTGATTTTTTGATTCCTCGGGTTCTATCCTTTGGCATGGTTACCGAAGACCTAGGTAATCTGATAACTACTGCTGGATGGGGAAAATCGAGCCCTGTCAGTAGGCTTTTCCTCCCTAGCTATGTTGAACTGGGACTGGTCCCATCACATCTACCAGCCGAAGAGTGTTAGACAATAGGAAAAGAAAGTTGTGTGCAGATATAAGGACAAAGGTTCTTAGTAAGATTTCATTGCCTTCCTCACTTGTTCCTCTTCTGATTTCATGCCTGGGATATTAGAATGACATTGGCCTCTCTCTGCAACCACTGTGAGACCTTACATGTGACACATAAACAGCAAGACTGTGGAACAGGAAGAATAACAGGTACTAATCCTTTATGATTTCTCCCAGGAGCTTACATAGCCTCCTATACACACTTCCAGGTTTCTTTCTCACATATTACAGAAAGTGTTAACTCCGAATGTTTGGCTTCATTCAGGGGTTCTAAACCATAGTCAAGTCAATCACTCCTGCCTTAATTCATTAATTTTAGGGATGGATAATCTTTCTTACGATCTCTCTATCCCTTTGTTTTATTCACACAAGACATTAGACCTTGAGCACAACAGTTGCTTTTGTGTTGAAATGTGCAAGTAAGGAATTAGCATTTAAAGCATTATAAAATATATAAAAACTGTTTTGTAATAGCTAAAATTTGGAAACAGCCCATTTGCCCATCAGTTGGAAAATGGATAAAGAAGATGTGCTTTTTCTATAAAATGGAATACTATTCAGCCATAAAGAACGAGAAATTAGATTCATTCATAGGAAAATGAGTATATTGAGGATATACCCTTAAGTGAGATAAATAAGTCACACATGTGTAAATACCGAATAGTGTCTCTGGTGTGAAAAACTATAATAGTACATAAGATCCTAATGAGATAATTGACAATGCGAAATAGGAAGAAAAGGGCTAAAGGTGTAGGGAAAGTGGAAAGGGTAGGGGAAAGGTAACAAGGGAAAAGAAAAAATATGAGAAAATGAAAACATGGAAATAAAGTGTTTATAAATGGGGAGGGTAGGAGGGGGTGAAGGGAGGGCAGGGACAAGGGGAAAAAATGAGAACCCAGACCTATCATGTAAAGGTACAAGATCCCAAAGATGAATGCAACTGTACTGTATACTTAAAATGTACTAATAAACTCAATAATATATATAATATATTTCATATATTTTGTATATAATGTATTTATATATTATATATTAAGTTCTCAAAAGACTACCCACGAGACCAAAAATGAAAAATTAGTAGTAACAGTAATTCACTACAGATCAGACTTCTTAGTAAATAATTTATTAAGAAACTGTTACTAGGTTACATTTTAGTGTATGCCAATTACATAGTCTTGCTACGCTTCTGGAGATAGTTACACAAAGACAACTTATAATGATTTACATTTGCATATTTGACAAAATAGATATTTCTTCAGTAATGGGACAGGCTGACTCAGCCTGCAAGTGGAAAGAGTTTGATGTTTACTCAGTCACACATCAGACAGTAGTCCTTGCTCTACTTTGAAGTTACTGGATGAGGGAGATCCGGCTCTCCCGGTGGTAGTTTCAAGGACAAAGCCTGACTTGTCATGGTAATCAGCAGCAAGAGGAATAGAATCTTTTGCAGCAAAAGGGTCTGTAGCTAGAGCAGCCAGACTTGTATCCATGGCCATAGCCACCGCTAGAGCCATAACCACAGCCAGAGCCTTATCCACAGCCAGAGCCACAGCCAAGGCCACAGCCCCCACAGGAGTTTCCGTAGTAGTTGCAGCACATGGTGTCAGGAGGTGAGGTTTCCGTTGACGGATCCGAGGATACTCCTCAAGTGTGAATGTCCTCTAGTCTTCCAGGCCCCTTATATACTTACAGGACTGGATGGGGGGGTCATAGCTCATATGTGCTCCCATCTCTCATTCTGCAACCATGTGCCTAAAATGAGGTCATTCTGTGCGCACTCATTTTGTTAGAAATACTATGCAATTTAATTACTGATGTCCTAGGAATTTCCCAAGCCTTCAAGGAAATGTGTATTTCTAACAACTGACCCTCAAGTGACAATAATTTTATTCTCCTTAACATAGTCTTATTACCACAGTACAACACAAAACATTCCCAAAATATGGTCAACTTATAAATATACGTTTACTTGTTATTCTTTTCCTTTAAGGTCCCGGAAATTATCTGCTAAACAGTTCTATAAAGAGTTGATAATATTATCCTTAACGGCAGCAAGGTCAACAACAGTAGGAGCTGCAGAAACATCTTGTTTTCTTCATTTCCTTTCCTTTATTTTTGCATCAAAATCACATTGCATTAGTTTTGTAAAATTATACAACCGAGTGTTCCGACACACGACAAGCACTCCGTGAAACTTTCTCCTTCTCTTTGAAAGAATAGTTGTCCAACCTGCCCCTGGACAAACACGTCCTTTGGTGTTTGAGTTTTTATTAAATTCCTGGTAGTAATGTAAGGAGATTTATTATGGGTTGTTTTAGTGAATAATTTTTCTAAAGGATTCAATTTAGAGGGCAAAAAATTTGTTGGTTTCACGAGTTCTTTCTTGCTGAAGTCCATATAATATCAATTCCTAATCATACGTCATTTGTGAGAGCTCCCAGGCCAGTCTCATGTTTGTGCCTTATATGAATGCTACCCAGTAGTATAATGAATGAGTAGTTAATATTTCCAAATTAATGTTTCCGATGTGAAATGGGAGAATTATTTTCATCGCAGGATGAACATTTCAATTAGAAGTAATAATATTTATTTCTTTATTACACATAATGGTGAATATAATTAATAATAATGAGATGATAATGAAGTTATAATGCAACTCAAATATTATGTTTTTATATATTTTATAATTCTATAAATGTTAATTCATTACCTTTACATTTCGACATTACAAAATGAGTACATTTTACAATGATTTTAGTAAGATAAATTATGAATATGTGAAGTGAAATATGTATTGAATTGATTCATTCATTCCAAAGTATTTTTATCTAAATCCTACTTTGCTCTTCCAAAACAATTTTCTTAAAATTTTGCTTAAACTTCATTCAATCTATGTTAAAATGATAACATCAGTTGTAGTTGATTGTTTGTTGGCATTTTTTATTAACTTCAGGTCACCTCAAATTATATCTATGAAAAATTTGTTTTTAACCCATTTGACCTCTTTTACATTTCCACCACTTTCTTGAACTTTCTGGGCCTTGTACTTTATTTTTTTAAACTTGGGATCTTCAGTTCTAAATGACATACTAGTGATTTTTATATGCTACCACTAATCAAATTATCATATATACACAAATGATTCCTGAAAGCAAAGAGCTCTGAAATTTTCTTGGCCAATCAGGAGACACGAACTACATTTTAGGTCAGTCAGGGAAATATTAATGTAAGAAAAATTTTAAGCTAAGAAAAATGGAATTATATACTCTTAGATGATAGAACTGGATATAGTATCATAGGGCAATGGGAAACATTCAAAACAGGAAGATCTTAAAACAAGTAATGTAACCACAGAATGAATTCATTGGAAATATTTGTGCTATAGAAAAGAATGCTGTTTCTGCACTTAAAAGTTGGCAAAAAAAGAAAGTTAAAGGTAGCTATCAAATTGTTTCTATTACTAGAAAAAAAATCTGAAGATGAGGAATGTTTTGAAGGTGATGAACATATTTATGCCTTTGTGATGATAGACTCACTGGTGTATGCCTTGTATATACTCGAGGAACTTCATACATTAAATATGCTTAACTTTTTACATGGATTGTATCCCAACAAAGGTGATAAAGATAGGCGTTGACAAATAAACTTGGTTCTTTAGAACAAAATCCAACCTGGGACATCTAAGTGGTGATGAAGTCTCATCAGCTGGAGGTGTGGACACAGTAAGGGCCTGGGAAGGACGGGCACAGAGAGACTATTGGACTGTGGGAAGTCAAACTATGCAGGGCACCCAGTGTCTACACAGACAGCAGGCTACCCAGAAATCTTGCATGAGAGATCATCAAGGTGATCCTTTCTCGGTAGAAGGAATAAACAAAAATTAGTCCCAGGATGACTCTTCAACATCAAGGAGTTTCTGTCACTATCTGGACCCACTGATGATTTGGACCCGAGGAGATGTCCTTGCACCCCACTGTGGCAACACCCTCAACTTTACTCTAGCACCACAGGCAAAACTCCAGCAGAATCAGTGTCACTTTTCACATCTGTGCACACCCTCTCCTGAGAAAGCTTGAGGTCATGAGCACAATTAAGGAGAAATGTGCACAAAATTCTTCTCTTCACAGAGGGCAAATATTGAGGGATGAGTCTTAGAGGCAGCAAAGTAATCTTTGGTTAACTCTCTCCTCTGTGTTCCAGAAGTCCTGCAGTAGAAACTGTTTTCTTGGAAAATACAATGGCTAATTTCCTACAACGTTTACTCCTTACACGAATGTGTTCATTAGCATTTCATCGTTGTTACAAAATACCAGCGAAAATCAACTCAGATGAAGAAAGATTTATTCTAGTTCGCACTTGCAGAGGTTTTAGTGCATGGTCTTTTAGCGCTGTCTTAGGTTTGTGATGAGGAAGAAAATCGTGGTAGAAAGGAGTGGCACGGGAAAGTGGCTCATTTCATAGTGGCAGAGAGAGAGAAAGAATCCTTAACATGAAATAGCTCCACAGCACAAGCCCCATGACCCACCGCTGCGGACCACATTCTATCTCGTTCTACCGCATCATCTCTAAGAATCACATCTAGTTATAAATCCATCAATGGATGAACCCATCTATGAAGAGAGACCGTCATCTCCCAAACCTCATCTATGAATGTGGCTTCCTTAGTGAGCAGTTCTTCACCACAAGACTTTGGGATATACTTAAAAAGTACCAATAAACTCAAGGAGAAAAAGAAAAAGACTTTTGGGAACATTACATTTCAAAACCATAACAATGACTGAACCTGAAGGAACCTCTGTTTCTGCAACAGCCCTGTGGGAGTAAACATAGTTATCTAGATTTAAAATTTTGCCAAGAGGCATTTGGAGAATATACAGGAACTACAAAGGGCAGATTACAAAGCCTCATGCACAATGTAAATGATGTGTTCTATTGCTTTTCTCCATTTCCTTTTTTCAAACAGAAGCACTCTCAAAACAATAAATCCTTACACATTTCTCTGTATGTTGGTACTCATGTATTCCTAGTTAGCTAAATTTTAAGATTTATGGTAATGTTTTGATCATTTACTATGTTATGTACATATACATACATAAGTATATGTTTATCGTATATAGCATATGTAAATGTTCAATACATATACATATAATGTATATATATACATTATACACATAATACATTTTCAAATGTGATCAGTTTCTCAAAAAAGGGATCCATACTATGATTGAATTCTCTGAACTTTGATAAAACTACTGCGAGACTCACAGTGATAGAAAATACAGCTTACATCTTTTTATTCTTTCTGCTTTTAGAAATTGTTATTGACCAGTAAAATCTGATATGAATTCATGGTGTACAATCTAATGGTTAGAGTGTTTAATACACAGCATTAATATATATGATATATATGCACTATGTAAAGGCCAAATTAAGTTATTTATTATACGCTTCACTTCAAGTTTTGATTATTTTGGGTGCATGAGATCACTTAAAATCTACTTGCAATAAACGTTAGGCAAACAATTCAAAGTTGCTATATTCACCACATATTACCCTCCAAAATTTGTTCATCGTAGAAGTACAATTGTAGTCTGCAGCCATACCACCCTGACTGTGCCCAATCTCATTTGATCTTGGAAGCTAAGTAGGGTTAAGTCTGTTTAGTTCTTGAATGGGAGAAGTAAAATTGTATTCCATTTGATCAGTATCTCTCTCTTCTCTCACTACAAGACTTGGGTATGTTTGTATGATTTCCATTGACAACTCTGCTGCTAGTTTTTATTGGAATATCTGCTTACTTAATATTGACTAGTTTGATATCCATAAGAATTTTAAACATTAACCCCCATTCACATGTAAGCTTGAAAACAAGCCCTGCATTTTATAAGCTTTCTCTTCATTCTGTTGATTGTTTCCTTTTTTGTGCAGAAGTGTTTAGTTTGGTGCAATTCTATTTGTCTGGTTTGCCTCTGCTAGGAGACATAACCTAAACCTCATTGCCTAAATGAACAAGGTAGAGCTTTTCTATTATGTTTTTTTCCAGCAATCGTATACTTTTATGTCCTCTGAACATATCTGTGTCAAACCACTTTGAAGTGTTTTTTGTTTTTTGTTTTTTTTTTGTTTGTTTGTTTGTATATGATAGAATGGGAAAGTTTGACTTCTTTCTTCTGCAAGTGAGTATCCAGATTTTGCAGCATAGTCTACTGCCATACTACCCTGAATGCACTGATCTCGTCAGATTTACAGCATCATTTTTTTTTCAGCTTTAATTGAGTTTATTGGTACATTTTAGGGATACAGTACAGTTACATTCATTGTTGGAATCTTGTACCTCTACATGACAGGTTTAGGTTCTCATTTTTTCCCCTTGTCCCTGCCCTCCCTTCACCCCCTCTTCCCCTCCCCATCTACAAACACTTTATTTCCATCTTTTCATTATCTCACATTTTTTTTCTTTTCCCTTATTACCCTCCCCCTACCCATCCCACCTTCCCTACACCTTTAGCCCCTTTATTCCCATTTCACAATGTCGTTGAAGAGGAGTTTTTCCTCATTGCTATGCCTATTATCATTGCCAAAAACCAATTAAATCTGTGCTGAGATTTGTTTCTGGGCTCTATTTTATTTCATTAAGGGGTTATAGCATATTTTGAAGTAAACAGTGTCATATATTTGGTTTGTTGTGCTTTATTAAATATCTGCTAGAAGTTTCAAAGAATTTTAGAGTTTTTCCTA